TATTTAATGTTACTAATCCAGGCAACAGCAAATTATAAAGAATCTAAAAGTATTATAAAACAAAACAATAAACCACATTGATTAGGTGTCAAATGAATACCCTATGATTTTTGCCTAAGAAGCATCTTAGCTATTTTGAGCAGTAATTAATGGAATGAGATGTAAGCAGTCACTGGCAAGGTGAGAAGCTGGGCAGGCCAAGTCTTAAAATCCTGTGAGTTTACAGAGCATTGTCAGTGTGAGCCATTCAGGGGACAATACAGAGAATCACAGCTATATGATTTATCAAATCAGTCCTCTATTGTAAAAGTACAAAGAGAATGATGTCCGTTGGCATCTGATTTGGAATTGGATACTTGTGTATTAATGAATTTGTGTAGAGTGTGCCTTCCAATGTTTTGCCTGGAAAATTAATTCATTAGGAATTTGGATGAAAGCATCATTAGATAACCATAATAGAGTTAGAGTAGCCTATACAGAGGAAAAGCTAACATTAAGAATAAGCTCATTAATCCTAATAGTATGTTATTGAGGTTGAAACTAATTATTGAGTACTTTAACATGATTAGTCATTACTTTATTACTAAAAGATATAAACATGCTTTAAACGTATATAAAAGTAACTGGTCAAACTAAACCACAGTAATTTCAGCTAAATAGCAAACAGTTTCACAGGAGGAGTGGGGGATATGTGGGGCTCTGAAGGAGAAGATCACAATATTCACTTTGGCACCATTATCTCTCTATTTCTAAAACATGGTTAAAACTAGATTTCCAACACCAGATAATGATAATAGCCAACATTTACTTGAGTGTTCACTGTATGCCTGGCCTTCTTCTCAACACTTTACATGTATTAACTCCCTAAATAGGAAGAGTGACCTTGTGAGTCAGGTACTATTATTAATATCCCCCTTTTATACCTGAGAAGTTAAATGATTTGCTTAATAAGGTCACAGTTCTTGTAAGACAAGAGTAGTGCAGGACTCGAACCCTCCCAGTGTTCTACCAGAGGCTTTGCTCATAGTTGCTAGGCAGTACTGCCTCTTGATTGAACTGAACTTTAAGTTACAAATAAATAAATAAAATTGTGGTGCATCACCAAGAGTCAGTTGTGCCAAAAAATAATTCTTTGTGTGATGATAAAAAAAAAAAAAAGGACAAAGTCTAATGTGTTTTGCTTGTAATCCCTTTCGTGTACACATTTTGCCGCCAAGCACATGGCAGGATGATGCAGCCGTACCTGAGGCCTGCGTGGTTTTTTCCCGTTTATAGAGAACCTTCTTCACAGACAGTATGTAGCAAGAGGAGGAGTAACAATTGTATCTTTTCAGCAGTAGGATTCTGAATACTTTTCACCAACAGTAGATTTTAGCAGTGAATTTAAAACATTCTGCTAATCTCAAAATAGAACAAGAGTGTTTTGATTATCCTTTTTCTAAACTACTCATATCCGATAAAGAAGGGAAGTAGAAAGCGGGGAGGTGAAACTAGAATGATAACAAAACGATCTCTCTTCTGCCCTAGACCGGAATGATGCTTTCTGACTTTTTAAATAATTTTTATTCCAGTCCCTGTTTCTGAATGGGTCAGAAGTGCCAACCACCATCCACCTCTGCACAAACTTGCCAGCTCAGATCATCACGGGCCTTCTCCCAGCCTGTGTGTAGTGCACTGGGAGAACACATCTTCACGTCTGTTTTGAAACATGCATAGAAGCATTATTTACTAAATTTAGCCCTTTTCTCAGGTTTTATAATTTTATCTCTCCCAACCACAAGAATTATCCATTAATTTTATGCGGTTCTATAAATATATGTTATTACCGGCTTAATACCTCCTTGCTTAAAACCCTCACAGTAGGTGGTAAACACTTGTCCACCACATGTTGGACTTTCAAGATCCCCCTTCATTCGGAGAACTGGAGAGAATGATTTCAGCCCCATAGTCAAATAAAATTTCTTTGTCAGTGATTCTTATAATGGATGCATTATGATAAAACTTCTAGGTGAGAAAGTTACAGTTTTAATTTCAGGTACATTTGAAGGTTAAAATGAAAGAGTTAGGAGTTATGTACGCACAGGCTTCCTTATTCCATTTGGCAAAGGAGAGTGATTCTTGGAACAACATGCTAACATTTCCGTCCGTTGTGTCTAGTGCATGTGGGTCATTGAATAACTTTCATGAATAATGCTATTCTCATTTAGAACATAAATTCTGTCGCATTCCTAAACAATAAAAAAAAATGGGCCCTTTGAAAAAGCTTCTTGTTATGAGACAAGCTGATTGACTTATACTTCTATAAACCTATAGTTTTGGAGCTAAAGTTACATTTTGATTGTGTGGACTCAGTTATTATTTAAAGCTTGGTTTGATTTTGGGGCAGCGGCTTTTTCTTGATGACCCTTACTAATAAGCTTTAATTGGCAGAAAAATTTCAATTATTTTAATTAAAGAGCAGAATTGAACATGTTGACCGAAATAGATTTCATGTTTCTAATTAGACAACAAGAATTTGGTAAGGGCATACTTTTACATCAACCATTGATGTAAGAAACCTAAGTTTACCTGTTAATTTGTCAGTGAACTAGAGTGACAAGATTTCCTCAGTTTAAATTATTAAGGTAAGATATTGGAAAAGCATAATTCTCAGATATGAATTCAAAGACTTACAGGCAAGTTTACTTTGAACTCAATAACATATGTAAGAATAGAAATCAATTTGTGGTAGGGATGTGAGGAATGATTTTTGTACATTTGTTTAAAGAGTCATTTTTAGAGAAGTAATCTTTTTTTTAAATTATACTTTTTTTGATGTAACTCATGTTTAATGAGACCAAACATAAAAGCAAACACTTTTAGTAATCTTTATTTATCTGGTTCAGGTAGAAGACTGCCAAACTCTTTTGGTTTTACAGTAGGTTACAGTCTTATGATGGAGTTCCCAATTGGGGTTTGGAAACTAGAACCCTGGCATACAGACATGGTGGTTTAAATGATGTGTTGCTTCAGCTTTCTAGATGACTTAAAATTTGACTGGAATTCTCCTTTATTTAGAAACTAAACAGACAAGGCCTCGTGAGGAACTAAATTAATTTTGCATCGACATTGTGGGTGTTGGTGATAATTTGTAGTGACATTATACCTATTGGTTATGATCATGATAGGCAAGCTCCATCCAAATGGACATTACAAAAGCCAAATTTAATAGGCTTAGTTTGGAAATTTCTGCCTTGAGGAGAGCAGAGGGTCTCCAGCATGTACTTTGCTTTCTACCTCCACATTTATGTATTAATATACATCAATTCTTATTTTTTAAAAGATTTTATTTATTTATTTGACAGAGAGAGACTCAGCGAGAGAGGGAGCACAAGTAGGGGGAGTGGGAGAGGGAGAAGCAGACTTCCCGCGGAGCAGGGAGCCTAATGCGGGGCTCGATCCCAGGACCCTGGGATCATGACTTGACTTGAGCCGAAGGCAGACGCTTAATGACTGAGCCACCCAGGTGCCCCAATATACATCAATTCTTAAAAGTTGAGGAAGGGCATGAGAGGATGAATGGAACTAGACAATATTAAAGTAGCGGAGTGAAAGTTCTGTGGTGGTTTTTATGTAGGGATGTGGTAGAAAAGGCACACGGACACCAATTCCTAGCCTTTGAACATTCAAGAAAATGAATAAACTTTCAATAAAATGAATAAAAAGGGAAGTGGAAAACAGCTATGTAACTTAAGCTGGCATGTTTCTTCTCATCAAAAAAATAAATTATTTTTCACAAATATCAAGAATTGATTCAACAGAGGCCCAATATTGTATGTAGTGTATGATTTTGTCCATTTAATTACAGCCACTTTTATCTCTTAAAAATATTCACAGGAAAGGTATGCTTTGCGTGACCACAATAAGAAGATTAGATACAATAAATATACACAGCACATCTACTCAACCATATACATATTGCTGTATGAAATGTCCGAAGTGAAAAGATTTTTCCACCCCGTACCTAAAGTTTTAATAAAAATATTTTAACTACAACATACTGAAGCCTTCCTTAATTTCAGCTCCTTTTACTGCTTTAAAACTTATCTACGAAGGCAGTAGAGTTATGGATATATTCAGAATCAACTGTTTATGTTATCAGTAAGGCTTCCACTCAGGAGGAGGCTATTAAGTTTTGGGGGAGTCAAAAGTTATATGCAGATTTTCAACTGTGCCCCTAACTCCCATGTTGTTCAAGCATTAAGTGCCTACACTGCCTAAGCTATGTATTTTTTCAAGTTATCTGAGAACTTTTTAACCGTCTTTATTGCAAATTTATAAAATTACAGTTTTAAAATTACTGTATTAGCTTGGCAAGCTCTTGAACATATTTTTACATAGATTTCTGGTGGGGGCACTAATCTTTAGATTTTTGACACTATGACTTTTTTGAAAGGATTAATGCAACTGGACAACATTACGGTAGTAGAGTAAAAATTCTGTAGTGGTTTCTCGGCAGTGAGGTGATAGAAAATGCAAATGGACACCCATTCCTAATTTGAGATATCTATTCAGCAGATTATTTCTTTTCCTTGATTGCATGCATGCGATTATTTTAACCACAAAATGTATCTGAATGCTGTGCACAGATTGGCAGAAGTGAACTGTAGCAACATGAAAATAACTTACTTGGTATCACTTTTATAGATCAGGCAGTGGAGTCTAGCAATTCACGGTATTTTTTAACACGGTATTTTTTAAAGCTTTTAAAAATTACCTCTTACAATAGTGATTATTAAAGCCGAAAGGATCAGGAATATGCCAAATGTAAGATCATTTGTAAAAAGTAATTCACAAACTTGATATACGACATTTGAGGTGTTTATAGGTGAGTTTTTGATATACAGAGTGGTATTAAAATAGAAGTATAAAGTCAACCATAATGATGGAGTTCTAGACGTAGACAAATAAGATGATTGTTTTTATTTTTTTTTTAAAGATTTTATTTATTTATTTGACAGAGAGAGACACAGCGAGAGAGGGAACACAAGCAGGGGGAGTGGGAGAGGGAGAGGCAGGCTTCCCGCCGAGCAGGGAGCCCGATGCGGGGCTCGATCCCAGGACCCTGGGATCATGACCTGAGCCGAAGGCAGCTGCTTAACGACTGAGCCACCCAGGCGCCCCAAGATGATTGTTTGTAAACTTTCAATAAATCTGTTACCTAATTTACGGATATCCGTAGCTTATGAACCCTTATTTGTGTTTATTTAACTTAGAAAATTAAGAAAGAATTAAAGAATACTTGAAGTTATTATTTAGTTTCTAGCATTCTGAGAGGGCCAAGAGACTGGAAATGTCTTAACTTAGCATGAATGTAGTTAAACGAATCATTGCTACGCTGCTGTCCAGGTCTTAAAGTGCAAAGTATTGAGAAGACGTAGCAATTTGCATAATTAACCCCTATTCATTTTAAAGGGCAAGAAATAAGATTACTCTTTGGCAATCACATGTTACTTGAATTGTATTTTATTTTTATTAACCTGAAAACATACCAGCACACTCACACACACAAGCCCTAATGCAAATATGGACAGAAGGAATCCCCCCCACACTCATAAATCAGTATTTTTCTTTCTAACATGCAACAGATGTTAATAGCTCTGACGAAAAAATACGGTGCCATAGTTAGTAAGGCGGAGCTCATGCTTTACGGTTTATGGCCTGACTAAAAGTAGATAAAGTCTGCATTTGTGTGTTTACTCTAGACAGCCTCCCAAATAACATCAACGGACTTCTTGCAGAAACTGTAAATGCTTTTCATTCTGACCAATAAAAGGCAACTTGGTGAGTTATAGAGATTGACTGGGTGCTTGACATGCGGTGCTGCTCCATTTAAACAGTGGCAATTGGTACTGGGCAGGTTTAGGAGAATTTAACTTGCTTGCTTGCTTTTGGATATGTTGATATCCTAATATTCTAAAAATCTAAAAATGCAAGTTTAGTTCACATATAACAGGTTTCCTTATATTGCTTTTGTAGTTCATATGTAAAAAAAGAAAATAATGTGCTCCTAGTCATTCTATAATTGTGTTCTGATATTACCAGGCAGTTTTTGTAGACATAGTCAGATAAGCACATTGTTCATTATTTAAATGCATAATGCATCTTTTCGATCATTATTGCCTAAGTAATTTTCAGAGAATGATCATTGAGTGGTCTCTCTCCCCACTTCACCACTTTAAGATAGGTGGATGTGTTTGATTCCTTTTCCATTCTTTTATTATTTTAAAAACCCTAGGGAAAATAAAACATTTGTTTTCAATTAAAAAAAAAAAAACACCCTGATAATTATATTGTTTTACTTCTGCAAAATAGCCACGTTTTTACATACTCCAAATAAATTGTCACGCGTAACGATAGGCTGAAAACAATGAAATGTGGCTGAAAATAATTTCCCTTGTTGTACTACAATGTATGAATAATTATAGATGTAAACACTTAACGTCACATTTCCCTGTAATACCATTATTCTACAGGTACCATTCACAACACAGTATATTCTATTGCTACTTTGTGAAATGAGTTCTTGAGATTCATAGTAAGGCACTACGCAAAGCATTATTATTAAAGGATTAGAGGGAAAATTTTCCCAATTGAAAACTGATAACTGAAGGTATTATTTAAAATAAATAAACTGCAGAGTAGGTAAGTTCAATGTAGCAATATCTTTCTATTTTGGTTTCAGATTAAGTTTTTATATACACAAAAACAATTTGCCTCAAGAATTAGGTGATATATTTTAGAAGGTTTAAAATAACCAAAATAATGTTGCAGTGTGTTACATTAGTAATTTATCAATAAAAATTATTACTGTTAATAATTGGTAGAATTTTTTTCCTCCCTGTGCTAGTGATTTAAGTTGATGGGGGTTTAGTAACGTGTATAGGGATGCATCTTAATATCTATATTTGCTGAACAGTGTTAAAAACACAAAACCGTCCTCATTAAAATGGACTTTTGTACACTATAATTTGAATTAAGTAATGAATATATAAAGTATTTAAAAAAGTTGTATATCGAATGTATAACATTCCATTTTTGGCTATATTTTGTAAAACATTTTTGGTGTAATCAGTACGACTCTCACGTATGTCAAATCAAGTATTTTACTATTTATTTAAACAGATATATACCTAATGTATTTGGAAGCTTATTGCACTCATATAATTGTATATATTGTGACTTCAAAGGTCTGTACTTACCCTTGCTTTAAAAAAGTAGTATGTGCATTTCTTTCTAATTTATTTTAATTAATTATATTAAGGAAAGCATCCTTTACTAAATGTATCTTAAAATTCACAATAAAGTTTCAGAGATTGTTTTGTACAATGTTGAGACTTTGTGTTGAATTTGTTTGTGAGCATTTTTTGGAATTGTTCTCTGGTTTTCTAATAAGGGTTCCCTGAACTTAACCTTATTGATAAAATGATGAGTGGCAACACGTGGTGTGGTGAATAGCTAGCCCCTGGTGAATGGGGGCTGTTCTCCTAAGCGGTGAAGTGCTAACACCTTGGAACCTTGGCTAAAAGACACCAAATGGGCTTCCCCCTCCCATTTCTAGTAACTCATCATGTCCAGATTTCTGCATTGGGATCTCGAGGAATTTGGATTCTGAGTGCCCTAAAATGCAGAGAAGCAGTTACATGGAGGTAATGTGGAGAAAATAATATGCAGGTCTGTTCATCGAACTTGTTAATGCTCTTATTTACAGAAGTTAAATAGATATTTAAGAGTTCAAGTTTGGCGTGTTACCTTTGACATCCCATTGAAAAGATAAGGCTAGACCCCCAAATACAGTAAATATAAATATCCATATTTGGTTCAGGTTAGTTCACTGAGGGGCAGACTCACTTATTTTGCTAAGAAAATTCAGGTTTCTCAAGTGAGGAAAAGCCCTGTACCGTTGTGAGTTCACCACGGTACTTTACGTCACCCTTGAAGCCTGTTGGGACACAAGCAATTGGCTATTTCCACATGAAACACATGTTCTTCTACCTTGCTGGATGGGGATAAATATGTGTTTCATGTTTAGATTTCCTATGATTGGGAAGTGGGGAGTGCTACATTTTCATAACCACTTTCCCAGTTGCACATTGATTATTTTACGCATACTTGTTAAAGACAAGCAAAAAATCATGGACGTCCTTAAAAGGTCCCGGTATTTTTCATGTGAAAGGATCACATTTTGTAACGATACTCATTTGATACAGCAGAGACGAAAACTTACTGATCATAAACATGGAGTGCGTATTACAAAACTGCTGTTGCTCTTAAATTTATGGTTTAGCCCAGAGAGATTTAGCCATCTGCCCTATTTGCCGGGTTTTTTTGTGCAGATGTTTACCCCTTAAAAAGAGTAAGTTGGTCAGGTCCATTCATCAAATGCAGTTGAATAAAAATATTTTGGCCTGCGCTGACATTCTGATGCTACCCATAAAACAGAACACTTTTTTGCTTTCCATTCATGTAATGAAAAATCTTTTGAATACTGAAGTAGTCAAGTGTAAGGACCCATAAGAGCTGGGCAAGTGGACTATGGTATCTTAAATATTAAACAACCAGGGATAACAGGGTGCCTTTTCCGTAGGAGAAGTGAAGTGATCCCCAATATGCAATTTTCCCCTTTGGATTAGTTCTTTGCAATTGTTTCCTAGTCTAATGCTATCCAGCAGTTATATCCATTTCTTCTTTTATATTTTTTCATGAGATACAATTCCTTACAAAGATTTTACTCACTTTTTAATTCACAAATAGTGCATGTCCTGTTAGGATATTAAAAAACATTAATACAGTACATTACCCAAACCATTTTTACCACTTAATTTCACCTCAAACATGCATTCTGATATTAACTTGCAGGGTTAATCAAGAATGATTGGTCATATTTTAGAAGATGCAAGTGATTTTTAACAAGAATCAGTGGGGAAAAAGGAATGAGTATTATTCCTAGCACCAATACACTCTGATCAACAATACCAGCTAATGTAGTCTATACTTTTAAGTATTTGATGGCTAGAAATAAAGTGCTTAATCTTAGAAATGTATATGGGTATATGTTCATATATTTATATATAGATAATTTATGCTATATATGAAATAATATATATATTTTAATTTTTTATTTAGATAGATTGAGAGTGATTGGAACATTAATTCTTCTATACAGTAAAACCTAATTTTTGTTGTTTATTAAGTGATATCGGCTACTTATCTATTATACAATCAGATTTTAATACATATTTTAATGCCAGTAATTACTTTTGACATTATTTGAATAAACCTATCAGCTTTCTGTTTTAAATTTTTGAATAGAACCTTTGGAATTTTTATTAATATTTTTATTTACCTAAGCATCATAGGCTAAGGTCATTATTTTTATATAGCTGTTTTTGATATTTAAACATATTTCTTTAGTAAAGCACAACACCCACTTAGTTTTGAAAATGTACAAGTAAATATTTATTCATGAATACATAAGTAAATTCAGAATTCTCCAGTTAGTGTAAATGAATCTTTACTTTAACTTTTTTTTTTTTTTTTTTTGGTGACTTTAAAATACCATGTTACCAAGGATGATTCCATACTTTATTTAGTAAATATCTACTGATCACCTATATGATGGTGTATGTTTCTGCTAAGTGAGTCTTTACACATAATTTGATGTGTTTCACAGGCTGCACTTAATAGCCTTCATTTGTAAGGTGACTAGGTTTTGGGGGGGTGAAGGGGATAAAACAGAGTTTTGATAGCAAGTGGGAATGAATAATATGCTGCAAATTCAAAAGAAATCGGGCAGAGTTCCTGGTTTATAGTAGGAACTCAAATACTTTATGGATAAATGAATGACAGAAGACTCCTGATGAGGGAGTTATTGTTTTTATTAACATATATTAGCAATTATAATTTACGCTTTTTCAAATAAAATTTCAGTTAATCTTGTTAGATAGCAAGATGCATGCTAAGATTAATTTTATTTCATTTCTTTTTCCTCAATATACTTGGAAGATAGTAAAAGGTGTGTTCCCTATACAATGGGAAAAAAGAACTATTTTTTGTTTTGTTATACACAGTGTACACTTGGTATGTAAAATTAGTATTGTCCTTACAGCCCAGAAAAGTTATCATCCAACTGTTTACCACGTTGAGCATAAGTCTATATTTAATAAAATGGTATTCTATTTTTAAAATATTGAAAACAAATGCTGGTAAACTTTTGATAAGCACGTGTTATTTGCATTATTATTTCATGTCTTATATAGAAGAGTAGGGTGTTCAAATTAATCCATTTATGAATCATAACTATTAATTGGTACAGTTAAGGGATTATCCTTAAATATATGGTTTGAATGCATACATACATGTGATACTGTGCCTTTTAGCAATTACTTATTTTAGTTATTTTGGAAATATGCAGTAGCCTCAAGCATGTAAGTGGTTATTAATATGACGAATATATTTGTTGCTTTAAATATTTCATTTTATAACCAACAGTGTTAAACTTTCTGTGTTCTGACTCCATTGAGTATCATTTAAAAGCTGTAGGCTCAGTCTCCAGAAAAGATCATATACCTGCATATATATTTTTTTAAATTGCAAATCACTCAGAGTTCCCACAGACCCTCTGAAGCCCATCTGTGAAATCTGCCAGGGACCTATGGCCCTGGCTAATAACCAAATACATGTAAATTATTGGACTCACTACGCAATTCCTCCTAAACATTCTTTGAATATAGTTTGAAGTATTTCAAATAAAAGAAATTTAATATTCTTTTTTCAGCACTGTTTTTTAGAAAATGAACTTTTTTGGGAAAAGTTACTCCTATAATAATGGATAGAGCCTAGAAATATTTCTCCTTCCTTGTATAAAAAAATAAGATAAAACATTAAAAACATACATTTTGCCATAGGAATGAATACTTTGATCACATTAATAAAACACTCTTCATCACATATATAATGGATGCTGTTAGCAGACATGCAAATAAGCAGCTAGACAGCCAGCCAAATGGAACAAGGCAGCTTTAAATTTAAGCTCCCTTTGATGTATGCAGTCCTCACTATTTGTTAAATTTGATTTCTTTTTTATATTTTGTCCATCGTCCTTTCGTTGCTGTAAGGTGCACAGAAAATCCCTCAGAGTGACATCACGCAGGTGAAATATCCTGTTCACTTGCACATTTCTAACCTAGAATTTGCCTGTCATTTTCTTTCTTCTTATAAAGAGAATAATAAAAGCAATACTTTTTTTTTGCCTATAGCTGTATAAATTTATAAAGTAATTTCACATAAAACAGTGTGTTTGAATCCCACAAAAAAAATGCGTGAATTTGGTTTTTATCCCCATTTCTGAGAAAATTAAAGCTCAGTGTCTGAGTCTTTTTCAAGGCCACAGAGCTCCTAGGTGGCTCAGCTAGGATTTTTTTTTTTTTTCAATCTCCCAACGCTCATGCCAAGAATCAGGATTGATTTGAAAAAGAGACAAAAGTATGTTAATGACAGTGATATGAAATATTGCATAAATATACATCAACATGTATTTGTCCAGAATTCATCTTTGAAAATATGTTCAAAACTTTAAGGAATTTATTATAATATTTTAATAGTATTTGTCACATATGCAGAGAGACGTTTTACAGAACATTTTGACTATCTGTAGTTTTCTCCAACTCCTGATCAGAGACATTTCAAACTTGGTGAAATCACAAGGATTTCTGTCTTCCTGTCTGTGTGTCTGTCTCTGTCCCTCATCCTCCCCCTCTCCGTCCCTTTGTTCCTTCTTTCCTTCCTTCAAGTGTGTGTCTTTTGCCAGAATTAAGAGATTAAATGTAGTTTCTCATCTCTCAGGGCTAAGAGGTCCCGAATGAGAATTCTAACAACTACAAACTTATTCCCATGTTCTAAGTATGATTCTTTACCAGTCCGTTTTTTAAGGATGGATTTCTTTCTTTATTCCCCTCCTGTTATGATTCCTCTTTAGTTTCGGCAAGTTGATATTTGTACCAGAACTGCTATATGTAAGAATTATTATGCATCAAATACATTCCACATATTATTTTATTCAGGGATTTTTTTATACCCTCAAAACAGCTGTATGAAGTAAATGTTACTCATATCCTCATTCCATTGATGAGGAAACTTGAGTTTCATAGACATTTAGTAATGTATCTAAAAAGTTTGTTTCAACTTCATAACAAACTATCACAAGATTAAGTAGTAAATCACTTCAGCTTTTCCTTTAAAAGTTAGTGATCCCTTTATTTTTTATGACTTTATAGAGGCATATTATACATATCATATTCTTCACCATTT